TACTTGTGGGCAGGAATGTAAGTACTACCCATCAAGTACAGTGGGGTCTTGACTTGAGAACTTACTCCGTATTGGAAGGCGGTTCTCAAGTCAAAAAGTCTGTAAGTCAAGTCTCCATTGACCTACAGTGCATTGAAAACCGATTAATCCCGTAACAGGCCGTTTTTGTTCCATTTTGTTTTTTTTCTGGTCTGTAAGTCAATTCTCAGGCTGCAAGTCAAACCTAAATTTTGCGGCCAGAGAAGTCTGTAACTCAAAAAGTCTGTAAGTCAAGCCATCTGTAAGTCAAGGGTCCACTGTAGCAAAATAAGATTCGTGCCAAGCATTAAAGACCCTAAAGAAGAAGGGAAGTCATACCTTTTTTAAATAAGTGAAATTGTGATATGACAGTGCTACATATGTTTGATGCTGTCCTTGATATATTGTGATGACCTATGGTTTTAAGCAATAAACCAAATTAAGCAATAAACCAAAAAAGTTTAAAGTATAAGCTTATAGCCTTTATTGGATTCACTTTGTGTTTTATACTCCACTTCCCAAGGGTGAGATACTCTGGGCATCTGTCGCTAGATCTTTGAGGAATCACTGTGATTTTCATTAAATTACATACCCAAAATCATGTATTCCTTAGGATCTGCTTGACCCAGCCAAAGGATATTGTAATGCAATATATATTTCTATTTGGCATATTGTATGTAAATTACTGGATATTGAGCACCGACCACTATCGCCAAACATTTTCTGAGCTGTCCAGGTCCATCCTGGGTTGCTGAGAATATTTTCAGAAGGACAGTAATGTTGGAAAGACAACCAAGAGCCTTTAAAGACGAAAGCAAAGCATACTGTTTATGTACCGCCCCATAGAGCACTCTCTATGTGGTTTACAATTTAATTATGCAGGTTATACTCCCCCCCCCGAGCTGTGTACTCGATATACTGACCTTAGAAAGATGGAAGGTTGAATTGACCTAGAGCCAGCTACTTGAGCGCAGGCTTGAACTCAGGTGGTGAGCAGAGTCTTCACTGTAACACTGCAGTTTAACCCCTGCACCATAAAGACTAACAGATTTATTGTGGTGCAAGCTTTTGTGGACCAGCTCTCTTCCTGGTGTTCTGAAAAACTCAAACCCTGAAAGCGCCATAAAACCTGTTGCTGTTCCTGAGAACCTGGTGCTGAGAATTTTCCTTCTAATGCAAATAACAGTGACGCTGGTGAGGGTGGAAAGAGTGGGGGGGGGGAATATGGGTTGCTGTCGGTGGGAAAGACAGACCTTCTGCACCACCACTTGACCCTTCCCTCCTGGCCAAGAGATATCTGCTTTCCAAAGAAAACTATAATTTGAAATTGCACAATAACTCCCCAACTCTACAAGCAATGCTGCGGGTGGATCTCCTTGCTTGCAGCGTTTCTTATTTATCCGTGACACCAGAAAGCACACACCCCCTCCACACACACACACACACCTGTGACACCAGAAAGCACCCCCCCCTCCACACACACACACACCAGCCTGGAGCCGATGCCTCTTCCTTTGACTGCAGGCTTGGCATCTGTCTTCGGAATCTGCCTCTCACTGTGGGCTGCTTTTGTGCTGAAGGGGAGCAAGCAAGGGATTGCGGTCTTCTAATTAGGTTAATAAGTACTAAAATGATCATTAGGTTCTAGGGCATAGTACGAGGGCAGATGATACAGCCACGCGGCTGAAAGCGGTTGTGAGGTTTGGTAAAAGAAAAAGAGAAAAAAAAGTGCGGGTGGCAGAGGCCTCTCGGAAGCTCGTGTGGATGACCTACCTGGAATTCTATTGTTGAAAGAAAAAAAAATAGAGACAAAATTAATAAGCAGAGCTTCTGGGAACTGTTCACCAGGGAGGGGAGGCTGTCTGACTAGGGAGAGATTATGGAGCCGATACATGCTGAGCTGGTACATGCTGCAGTGCAGTCTCCTATTCACCAACCCCTCCCCTTCCCGACCCATGGGATTACAGCCCTGGACTAATCCAAAGACATTATTAGCCAGCCCATGGAGGGGCTGGAGGAGACCTCTCCTGTTCCCTGCTGGTTCTGAGACAACTAATCAGCCTGCGATTAGCATTTCCCAATGGCTAGGCCAATTCATTCCCATAGGCATCCAGTCTACAAAACCAAGAGGCTGACAGTCCAGCTCTTACCATATTCAATCCTTCATCTACAAAGAAGGGGCTATTTTCAACTCTTCACTGAACGGTGAGCAAGGACTCGTGTTTGTGTAATCTATCTTCCAAGAAGCTGTTCAACGTGACTTTTAAAAAAGTAACAGAAAAAGATTCTTCTGGGGCCTTTGTTTTGCCCCGTAAATCATGCCACTTTTCAGTGAGATTCACTGTCTCCTTTGAAATGAACATCTGGCACAATTTCCTCCTGCTCTAAAAGGGGACATAGGCTTTTGCTCAGCACCAAGCAGATCATGTCTGTGTCTACTAAAGTCACTCTCTTAACAAGGCCAGGCCTACCATTAGATAGTATGAAGTAGCCATCTCAGATGACAGATCGCTAATTGGCGCAGAGCGCCAGTATCATTTGGCTCCTGACCATTCCCACCCACCAGAAGACAGAACGGTATTTTCCAGGTAGCTGAGCCTGCACTTCTTAACTCACTAATTACTGCTGTTTTATTATGCCTTAAGTAGCCCCAGAGACTTTTTGACCAAAAAGTAGTATAAACACATTTCCACGAAATAATCATTTGTTTGAAATGTATTTAGAAACAGTGTTACAGACCACCCTTTCTGGACCAGGGACTGTAAAACATGACATGTAGTGCTCGGAAGCCATTTTCTCATCTGGTACATCTTTTTGCTCTCCCCTGCTGCGATAGGAAAATAATATAAGATGTGCTTCTGCCATCTTTGTGAGAAATTGTTACACAAGCAGTTTTATAACAGGCAGACTATCTCTTTTGTGTGCCAAGATAGATCAAATAAGTGAAGCAGCAGCCACATATAAGGGGCTGTGGTATTTCTACTGACCTTTTTATGCTACCCTCCAGCAATTTGCCAGACCCTGATGCCCATGCTGCTGAATTTTGGCAGTACAGTGGTCCCCTCCTCCCCAATTTCTACCTTAAAATAAAATGTGCTCTCTGCATACACCCTGGTTCAGGATAGAAACAGGACTTCCAAGAAAACCATTTCTGGCCATTGCATACCCCAAATACTGGTGCTGCCTAATGAGGGTATATCACAGAGAAAGACCTGGGAAAGGGGAGGGGAATTAGCCCCCAGATCCATCAAGGCACCTCTTCTGGAATCGGCATTAAAACAGGGACGTGGGGAACCATCAGCAGGAATCAGGAACAAGCACTAATACCTATATGCCATTCTACCCATTTTGTGAATGTTTTTTTTTCCTGCCATTGTTTCTTTGCTGAGGTGCTTCAGGGAATCTGTGGCCCTCCAGATGCCGTTGAACTCCAACTCCCATCATCCCAGCCAGGTCAGGTATGTTGGGAATTGTAGTTCAACATCTCAACAGCGACAGGCATTCTACTCCCTCTTAAAGTGGGTTTTGCATCAGCCGGGCTCTTCCTGCTTCATTTTGAATGGCTGTTTCGGTTCAACTGTAATGGAAAAAGCACACTAGACCCTTAAGCTTTACGGAGAGAGATTACATTTTCAGCTCTTCCCCTCGCAATGCAGAAGTGATCCTTTTCCACTGCTGTAACAATGACTGAAATCCAGTGGTAAGCTGCAACTAGAGTAGGCCCACTGAATCAGTGGAGTGGACTAGCTACGCAAGTCCACACCAATTCGACCCTCAGGTTTCAGTGAGGATGGTTAACTTTGCCTAATAAGGCCATAAGGCACAGCGCAAAGCAAGTTCTGATGCACCTGGTTGAGAGAATGGCAATTATCTCCCGCCCACCATAACGCATGATGTGCATTCTCATCCTAAACTCCCCCCATCAACACAGATAGCTCAGTGGTTTAGAGGCTGGGAGTTCGATTCCCCACTGGGCCTCCTTGACAGGGGCTGGATTTGATAATTCATAGGGTCCCTTCCAGCACTGCAGTTCTAAGATGATGATATATTCAATTCTGCATAGGAAAAAAGAGCATTAGAATGAGGAATATGCACCTTACTGTCCCCTCCTTCCCCATTCTAGGAAGGAAGGGGGAAAATGTCTGTCTTCAGAGCAAAGCGCCATATCCATGTGGAAGATAGTCCTCATGATTTTAAAAACTCTGGTTTCCAATTTTCCAAAAAAACGAGGAGACCCTAAACAGACAGAGCGGTTTCCTTCAGATAATCACTTTCCACTCATAGACCAGCAATGATGATGGGGTTCAGCTAGAAGATTCATCCTCATTCTCTCATTGCCTCTGTATTGCTTTCATGCAAGGAGAACCACCTGCACAAGAGTCTGTAGCTGTCCCAGGTGGTGCCTCTGCACTGTCGGGGTGGGGGGTGAAAGATGGAACGACACAGTAAGGCCTTCTGTTCACATTGGACATTTTCTACAATGAATTTAACAACCCTTATGGTGGGCTCAGCTAGGTTGTCAGTCCAGGAAGTGGGGACTGCCTGGGTCATACACTGAGTTGAACTTTCCCACAAGCTCTAGACTTTACACAGATTTTAAAATATGAAATCACCACACAGAACAAGACAGTTTTTTTTCCCTTAAGGAAACAGTTTTTCTTCTCTTGCAATTGACATGACAAACATTAATCAGGGACTGGGTGGCGATGGAATGATTTCCATGACATATACAGACATAGGAGAGAGATCTATAATTAGAAAACATTTCTGATAGTGACACAAGTTTACAGATAAACAGTTAATTAAGCATCATTACCAAAATCACTCTTCGGCTCCATTCACCTCCAGGAACAAACTGAACACACATAATCTTCTTGAGACTCTTTCTGTCCCTCTGTTAAACTTTGAACCTGACTTCTGGCCCCAAACAGGAACAATCCAGGCAGGCTTAGAGCCAAAACAGTTTCCCGAAGCTGCTCTTCCCCCTCCAAGGCAGGCAAAACAAGATATCTATTCTGGTTCTGGACCCATAAACACTCTATGATCATTTGCCAGCTTGGGTGGGTGGGGATGGGGGAAAGGATGGACTGCCAGGGATGGATGTCTCCAGTTAGCAGGAAATGATTTTTTTTAAATGGACATTAACTAACAGACAAATGTTTATTGACAGTCAAATCAGGATGGCTGAGAACACAATTCGAATCTAAAGCTACACTCTTTAAAAGACTTGCTCTGGAACAGTATCTAAATAGGATTTTTTTCCCTCTGGCATGAGTCACCCAAGATTAATTAACTATTTTAGGTGTCAAGGTTCTGGTACCCTAGGAGCCAATGACCTTTCAGTGCTAAGCACCCCACCGTGCCCTCTTTAAGGTGCCAACTGTGCCATCTCAGAACCTTGCTCTGATCATACACTTTCACTAGAAATCATGTTACATTGGGGGGGGGGAGAGAAAGAGACAGAGAGAGAGACACACAGAGAGAAATAAGCGTGCTTCTCCTCTGAGAAATCACCTGGGCAGTAGCAGCAGCCCTCTGTCATGGGCCCAAAATTGTTTCAGACTTGCAGATCCATCAGTCCCCTCACCTCACCACAACTCACAGGAAGCCTATTCAATGCTTTAGAAATGGTGTAGAAAAATGTCTCGTCACTCTTTTTAAAAAAAATACAATCGCTTCTCCAGAATTGCACAGGAGTCGTTGACATGCCACAGGGTCTTCCTCCGGGTGACACAGGGCAACACAAGATCTTGTACCCTGGTCCCCCAGGTTAAGAGAGGGGAAAGGGTGTACATGGGGGGGGGTAGGAGGGAGAGAATAAAAATAACCCACCCCACCCCACCTCCCGGGAAAATGGAGACTTAAGTGAAAGCCAAGGAAGATAACCTGGCCGGATTTTCTGACATTGCCCTTCCACCTCCTCCCAGCTTGGGGGGAGGGGGCACTTCAGAGGTTGCTAAAGAGTTCGTTTTTCTTGCTCCAGTCCATCTGTGGCGCCCTTTTGCTGGTGCGCTTCTGGTGGGCACGTTCCTTGGCCACAGCCAGTGGGATGTCCAAGTCAAGAACTGAATCGGAGGTGGAGCTGCGTGTTTCTTCCTTCTCTTGAGAGTTGAGCTGTATGGATGACAAGAGGACAAAGACAGAATAGAGGACACGGCCAAAGTGAAACTCTGCTTTCCCTACCTAAACCCAGCTTATGTCCTCACCCAAGACTCAATGACAGACTATTGTTTCTTGCTCTAAGCTTCAGCAACATACACCTTCCCTTCCCTACCATGCCTAACATGTTCTTACTACCTTTCTGGCTCTATATACACATACCCCAGAAGGGAATTGTACTGTTCAGCAGGCCTTGTGTGCACATTCTAACACCAAGGGAAGCCAGAAAGTCTTGCCGGAGTTTACATATACATATTTTCAAGACCATCCTAGCCACCACCCTTTGTACCCTTCTCCTTCTATTCCCTTGATATAAAGCACCTGACCACGCACGGAGCTTTCCCTCCAGAAACAAAAGAATTTTTAAAAAGGGAGACAATACAAATGTACACACAAAGCACATTTACGCAGTTGCCAAAGTCACTGGCATGTAATCTAGGAAAGTCCCATGCAGGTATTGGGGTGGACTTTCCTATTTTGAGTCTCACTAAGGGTTTCTTTTATAAAGAAAGACCATGGTGAGGTTCTACAGAAGGTGAACCAAGATTTGTTGCTGGTTAAAAGATTCGTAACCAGGCTTGAACAGTCAAAAGCACCACAGAACTCAACCAAGCTGAAATGCTATACTTAGAACACATGACCTGTGTTAATAAGTTACATCTACCAGAAGTTGCATGATTCCTTCTTCCTGGAATGCTTGCATTTTCACACGCTGCCAGCAAAAACTGGGTTGCAGATAGGCAAGGAGATGAAGACTGGGATGCACACTCAGCAAAAGGGTTCTAAATTTCTGTATTTCCCCCCTTCACATTAAATATATGACAGCATTAAGCTCATGCACCTCCTTTTTTCAAAGTATGAACAACAGTAGTGTGGGAATGGCCATTAGCCTTTCCCACAGGCCAGGAAAAGAAACAGCGGTTTTGACTGGATTGCATTGTTGTGAGTGGCTGTTGCTCCTTCTGCTAAAGAACCTGGAGTCTAGTTTTACATCACTGAAAACTGTACCTATGTTGGTTGGCCTTGACAGAGTCTGACTGCAAGGAGCATTGGTATCTTCGAAGGCTACCAGACTGCAACTCCCATCAGGATTACCTTCCCGAAGTCTCGAGTGCAAAAAGATGGGAGCTGTAGTCCAAAAATATCTGGAGGACTGCCCTTTGACCACCTCTGTTTTGTGCACATATCCCCCTCCGACGCTGCTACTTGCCATTCCCATTGTGCCCACTCTCAGCTGCCTACATACCTCATTGTGAGACTCATTTGGAGTTGGAGAAACAAACATATGCACTGGGGTAGAAGGACTTTCAGGAACAGGTTCTGGCTGGTCGTCTCTATTATTCTCCTAGGAAAGAGAAATACGAAACAAGAGGGAAAAAGTGCTATATAAATAACAGGCAGGGATATCATATAAAATGGAAATACACTGAAGCAAAACACAAAATTTGGGGACATATTTCCCTGCCATTCTAGACAGTTCACATATTTTAATGATAAAAGAAATGTTCTTCCTCCTACCCATTCGGCAAGAGTGAGGGAATGTAGTTTTGGCCATATAGAAGCTGGTCCTTCTCACAGTTCCCCACTCAAGCTTTCCATTTTGTAACCATTTAGCCACCCTGCTCTCGCTCATCCTGAGGAGAGAGAGCCCAGGAAGAGTCAGACATGGTGAAGACTATGAAAGTTTGACAGGAACTGTATTCCTCCCAACACCCCAGTCTCCCAGACTCAGAGGTGCTCTAGGGAATTTAATACAAAAAATAAATTCCCAAGGTTAGGCACTCAGAATTAGTGCATCAACCATGCAAGGTAGCTGCCACCACTCCCACATGCAAATACGGGTGTGTGTGTGTGTGGAAACAATCTGGTTTTAGTACCGTTAAACCTCTCAGTCAAAAATCCAGACAGCTGCTTGAAAGGATTTTTGTAATTAATTAAAAAGAAGCAAAGAAAGAAAAATTCAAAAGAACAAAAGAGTAAAAGTTCCAAGTGGCTACAAGAAAGGGTTGCCTTATACAAGGAAATGGGATTTTAGACAGCAATATCTTAAGGTCCTTTAATGTTCCCTCAGGATAAAAGGCAGCTTCCTGACCTGCTGCCATTCACACTGTAAAATCTGTATAACTATGTGAGGAAAGAAGCAGGCTGACTTCAAGGATTATAGATGGAGAATTAGACCATCCATTCACAACCATTTTTTGGGCATGGCCATTAACACAATATAGGCAAAATCAGGATTGTATAAGTCACATAATAAACCTTTTAGTTATGTGAAGAACTGTGCCCAGTTTGTGTCCCCTTCAAATGTACTAAATTCCCCCAGGGGGTCATATCCCACCCCATTGAGAATGTCTGCATTAGAGCCCTAGATGGGTGGTTTTGATATGCTCTTTGATGAAAATAATCAAGAGAAGAATTCATCCTTGCTCAATCCTTTCTTTGAAATGATCAATAACAGGTGATGAGTTGAAGGTGTGAACTCTCAGCTTACACACTGACCTCTTCTTGTTAGGTCAGCTTGCCAGGCACTCTCAGAAGCACAGAAGAGTCCAACAGCTGAATTAGATATTTCATACACTTCAAATTCTCAATTGTATCAGTCTCTCAGATCTCAGCTTCATCATCTCTCAGCTAGGAATGACCCTAGAATAGTCAGTCCAGCTGAACATCAAGATGAGTGAGAGCTTTATGATTTTTACATTTCCGAACTACCAGTTTAACATTCAAGAAAGACCAAGCAGCTGCACTGAACAACTGCTTTAAAAATGTTTTAAGAATGGTGTTGGGTTCCAGTAGTAACTGGTCTGCAGAAGGCACATCAAGCAACAATGAGCAGAGATGAATGTCAGACAGAGCCAGTGACACAACTGGATATTCATGGGTCAGCCTTCAGTCAATGGGAATGATGTTACAGGGGGACATCCTGTCATTCCCAAGAAGAATGGATTAGAAAAAGCAAATGGAATTCAGGAATGTGCCCAGCTCTACTTTTAGCTGATGAGATCCATGATCCATAAACCAATCATTTCCAAACTTAGGGCTTCAGATGTTGTGTCTTCTACTGACCACAACGGTGCCAGTCACCTCCTGGAACCCACCACCATTCCTAGGAACCTACAGAAAGTCTAGCGAGCACAGCTAGTGTTCAAGACTTCTGGGAGATTAGAGTCCATAAACATCTGCAGTTCAGAGTTTGGAAACCATTGCCATAAATTGATGAGAATACAAAGTGATCACAACAAACCTCTTGGCTCCTTCCCTTTGTATTTGCATTTTGTCAATATGGTTTGATTTTTTTTTTCACAACAAAGGGAGATGCCCCTGGAAATCAGAGCATACCATCACATAGCAAGGTTAAGAACTTAAGAAGAACCTTGTTGGATCTGTCCAATGGCACATGAAGGGCAAGAGTCATACTGTGGCCAAAGAGCTGCCTATGGGAAGCCTGCCAGCAGGAGATGATTACAACCGCACAGCCTGCTAACAATGTCATTCAAAACAGATTTTGAAAGCACTCCGCATCTGGCTTTTATTCAGTGTGCTGGGAAAATGGAAATGGGGGTGGGGGAGAGAAGATAATTTTACCTCATTGCATTTTAAGCATCCCATCTACTTATAACTGTCACAATTTTCACAATCCTGTGAAAGTTGAGGTGGGTTCCCCCCCCCCTTGTACCTTCCATGGAGCAAGAAGGTCCAGGGAAGATAGTGTAGGGTTGTGTGCGGATCAGCTTGCAATGTGTTAAATTGGCAAGATGATGATGAGACAAGCTGAACCATGATCACAACTGGATCTCCCCTCCCTCCATTACTAACACAAACACTGAATGTGTTTTCCAGGTTCTCAGGTGGAAACAGCCCGGTTTTTAGGGGAGAAGCCAGAATGCCAACACGGACAGCAGGATTGTCCAGGGTATCACCGCCTAGAAGGAGCACCCAATAAAAGCCACTTGGGAGGACTTCATATAAAAGAAACAAGAGGAAGGAAGACCGGAGCATCATTTTCTCATTGTACATTGGCCAGATATAGGGAACATTGGCTCCAGTTTGCCTCTTCCTCTAAAGGGCAGAAGGCAAGAGCAGCATAGGAAAAGCACTTGTATCATGTAATCTGCTGACTGGCCTCAGGGAACACGATAAGCAGAATGTTCAGGCCTTTTTCATCCCTGAGAAGGATTAAATAACAGTGGTGCTCCATCCTTCTCTAGCACACACAAGAGGGGGTAGAGTATCTCAGAGAGATCAGCGCAGGACCCTCCAATCATCTTTAGCTTTACAGCCATGAGCTCCTCTGTGCTTTAAGACCATGGCTAGAATAGAGCCAGCTATCTGAGTCCACAAGTGAACAGCTCCTGCTGTTCCTACACACACACACACACACACACATTATGGTTGATCCCTGTGCACAGGGAACACATCACTAATTTTCCTTCTCAGCTGCAAACTCAAATCAGGGGCAGAACATAATTTCTTTATAATTCATTCCCTCCTCCTTTTCTGAGACTGTTGAAATAACAGCACCATCTTTAGAAGTGCTTTGAGACTCACATTTATCCCATCCACTGTCACCAATTCTTTTTCTTTTCCCTGAGGAGAATCATATCCCAAACTTTGTTGGGGTAAAAAAGAAAAAGAAAATAAAATAGAATCAATAGCTATTTCTAAAATGCCCAGTCGTGCAATGGGTGGAATAGGGGAAAGCTTGAACCCATTCCTTCTTATATTAACCAACATAAGGTCCAGTGACTTGCTGGGGAGGGTCACAGGCAAAGAGGCAGACTACTGCCAACGTACTGGCTCCTCAGCCTTTTAGAAGAACTAGTTGGTGAACTAAGGTTTATTCCCATGTAAAAGGTTTTGCACAGGAAACACACTAATTTTCGTTCTCAGCTGCAAACTCAAATCAGGGGCAGAACATAATTTCTTTATAATTCATTCCCTCCTCCTTTTCTGAGACTGTTGAAATAACAGCACCATCTTTAGAAGTGCTTTGAGACTCACATTTATCAAATGGAAAACAAAAAAGTGCATTTCTTGCACAAAAGCAGTTATTTGGAGGTCCATGGAGAAAATAGCTACTTGGACACTACCAATAAGACTTTCCAGGGCTTTCTTTAAATACTTTAAAAAAAGACAATCTGCAGGTTTCTTTGGAATGCAGCTGAAAACACGAGATAAAGTGTCAGCACATCTGAAACCTACATCTCCTGAGCGATTAATGTCTGGCCATCACTCAACAGTTGATAGATAACTCTCTAATCAGCCTAGAGTTACCCAGGGACAATGATAAAGGAAGAGGTCATGTCTGACATGCAGAGAACAGCTGATGACCAGCCAAAGATAAATGACAAAAAAAAACAAAAAACAAATAAACCTCAAAACATTACAATAGCTGTTTAGAAAATCATTTTTGTCTGAAGCAACTCTGAAGTGTTATCAATTTTTTTGAAAAAAAAATACTCTTATGAAGAGCTAAAGTGCATTTCTTGCACAAAAGCAGTTATTTGGAGGTCCATGGAGAAATAGCTACTTGGACACTACCAATAAGACTTTCCAGGGCTTTCTTTAAATACTTTTTAAAAAGACAATCTGCAGGTTTCTTTGGAATGCAGCTGAAAACATGAGATAAAGTGTCAGCACATCTGAAACCTACATCTCCTGAGCGATTAATGTCTGGCCATCACTCAACAGTTGATAGATAACTCTCTAATCAGCCTAGAGTTACCCAGGGACAATGATACAGGAAGAGGTCATGTCTGACATGCAGAGAACAGCTGATGACCAGCCAAAGGTAAATGACAAACAAAACACCTCAAAACATTACAATAGCTGTTTAGAAAATCATTTTTGTCTGAAGCAACTCTGAAGTGTTATCAATTTTTTTGAAAAAAAATACTCTTATGAAGAGCTAGGAGCTCAGAACCTAATGAAAACGACTGGGAGGTGACATAAGGAAGTTGAGACAGATGGTCTCACCTTTAAGCTTCCTATGCCCAGGTCTGTGCAAGTTGTCTTCAATCAACTGGGAGAACTGCTACTTCAACTATCATTTCCGAAAGCCATTGCAAAATATTAGCTAACATCTTGTTGTGCAACTTTATGCTGCTCAATGACATCATCAGCTGCAGCCATGGGGTTGGTGAGTGGAATTAAAAGTCTCCCATCTCCCCCTGGTTCTGAGGTTCCTTTAGCATGTCCTTTTACCCTCCAGAAGACTTTGGGGGGAGGGCTTAGGATGGGGAGTCTTTAATGTCTGAAAAATGCTGTCACCAGGACTGGGCATTAAAGACTTTATCATGCAGCCCTCAAAAGCTTCCATGGGATGAAAGGAGCCCCAAGGGAGCCTTGGAATCTGGGGGTTGGGGTTGGAGGGGTGGAATAGAAAGTTTTAATCCTCCCCCCGAAACATCTGTAGCTGATGACATCATCAGCCTTGCATGGTGTAACTTTATGTGATTGGATTTCAGCCTTTGTTTAGGGTTGCAAAAATGAACCAAGTCTCCCTCAGGCTCATATTCTTCCCCACTTTCAATTTCTCTTTCCATTTTTTGATTAACCACAGTTCAGCAAATCATTTGAACTGAGCATTTTGGTTTATCTGAACAACAGTAAAATGAAAAAGGCCCAGTTTCATTAGATGTGGTCTGATATCCACCTGTTTCTACCAACCATAGTTTACATTAATCACAATTGACCCAGGTTTGGATGACCTAGAAAGCTGCGGTTAACCGAAAACTGAGGCACAAACTAATGAAATCTGATAGAACTGTACTAACACCACCGTTTTACACCACAAGAGACAGAGGCACAAGGCATGCTACAGTATGGGTTGATCCATACAGGAAAGAAATGGTAAGCATGAGACTGGAAGCCTAACTCATTTCCGTCTCAGAATCTTTTACAGTTTTTGATTCTATCCTTGTTCATTGGGGGTGGGGTAGGGAATATGTGAACAATGAATGGTTCTGAAAAATGATTGCTGTTTCATATTCCATGGAAGTCAAATTTATCACTTCATGGTACAACACATACACATTGTGAAGATGTTCCCAGATTAATACTAAACTGGTTTTCAGATTATTGTTTAACTTAAATGGAAAAAAAAAGAGCTGGCATGGGCCTATCTGGATCTGCTTGGTTTAAAGTTCCTCTGAGAACAGCCGTGCACTGTCCCTTAATGTATATTAAAATTCATGCTCCCTCTTGCCCTTCTTTTGAGGTACTAATGAGGCTTCCTTTCCGCTCTGCGTTTCATTAGGTTTTGTTTTTTCAAAGCAGACTGGAAGTAACATGGCCTTTTGGACCAGCAGCCTGGGTTGTGAGATTCCACCCACAGGGTGAAGAATGGGCCATTCTGTTCTGTGACAAGAGGCAGGCCTTGAAATGAGTGGCAGGCCATGAGAGCTTTCCCTCTCCCCTCCTCGGCTGCTGAGAGGCTGGCTTTGCTCCGCAGCACAAAAAACAAGAACAAGGAAGACAACAAGATGCTCCGTCTCCTTCTGGCCGGGGGTTAGGAGGGAGACGCTACACTCCAGCAGGGCTGCTCTTAGCATGTCTCTCTTCTTTAGGGTTTCTGAACAAGAAAAGAACAAGGGACATTAAAAGGGTATGAAGAGGATCTTGCCATACAAAACACGCATGAGCTTTCTTGTGTAGATGCCCCAGGAAGCCAATTACAACTTCCTAGCCCCCCCCCCCAATAAAGACAGGACATAATAGCCACCCAGAAATCTGTATGCACAGGGTATGCTTTTTCCCTGCAAGGATTGGGTTGATGGGGAGAAGAGAAAGGAAAACAAAGCTGCAATGTTAAAAGTGGCCCTAACACAACAGAGGAGGCCCACAGACGAAGCAGGCCCTTGGCAGGAGCGTTACCTTCTCCACATCACCATTGGCAACTGGCTCTGGCAACAGACCTGAGGAGGGAAACCAGAACAAAAAACATGCAGTTAGTGAAATCTGTTTCTTTCAACTGGATTTGGACAGCCTTTTTGCTAATTAGCATATCCCTCTTCTAATTGCCTGCCGCCTGAAACAAGAAGAGCTGCCGTAACCTCCTGGGTCTGCCAAGCCAGCCACCCCGATAAGAGCCACCTCTATGCCCTGCCAGCAGCGATTTCCCTATGGCAATATCCTCATCGGTTCCTTGAATGGGTGGATGTGAACACCAGGATCATGCAGGCAGTAACCAGCCATGGGGTTGCTTGGCTGCCTCTTGTCATGAGGTAGTGACAGGACAGAAAGATCCATACAGTTAATCCTGCCCACATAGTTATGACCAACATTTTTTTAAAAAACCTCCCCTTCCTTTCAAATGTGACCTCACCCCCTCACACATTATCTACATACACAACAACTGTGTGAGGTAGGGCTGGGAGGAAGGGGGGGAAGGAGGGAGAGGCCGGCCCAAAAATTTATCCAGTGAGATTCACAGCAAAATGGAGATTTTAGGCCGGACCTCCCCAATTCCAAGCCCAAGACTTTCCACTGGACCAGATCTCAGGGGGCACCCAGAGACCTTCCTTAGCTCTACGAAACGTCACCAGGACAGAGAGGGGAGCTGCCCTCACACATCAGAAAAGAGGCAGGGGCATCGACAGGAAACATCACACCATTCACTCCATTTTCAGAAGCACCAACGATCACTTTGTTTGGCTCCAGTAAGAGCTACCGCAAACGGCAGTGCCAGGCAGGAAGGTGGCTGTAGCTTAGCCAAAGTTGAAGAAGACTGGAGAGTCCCGTGTTCTGGGTTTCATCTTTGGCACAGAGCGAGCAGGAGCCTGGTTAGCCTGTCGCCCAAGGCAAGAGGTTGGGAGCCGCTACCAACCACCAGTTATAAATCGGAGCGGCGTTAACTCCTAAGGCAGTCACAAAGCAACAAAGCTTGTTGCAGGTGATCTAGTTTTATCCTTCTACTCTACAAAGATAATTCTATTTAGGGGCTTCTGTAGCGAGTCACACTAGTCTGGAGGTTTGGTTTATAGCAGGAATACTAGTTCTCTCATGCAGCAGTGACCTCCCTTGGCATATTCCAGTGGCTGCCCCTTCACAGATTCACTATTTCTAATGGAAAAGCTGGAAAGAAATGCAATGCATTTTTTTAAAAAAGGGGGGGCTCCAGTAAGAATGATTCAGCCCCTTCCCATACATACCAACCCAAACCAGTTGATACATGCCAGGAGTCCTAGGATCTTTGTAGCCAAATTTTTCATTATCAACTACACCCTTCCAATTAACTACTTATACCACAACTAGAAGTTCCATTCCTAAACATTCTGCTTTACTTGAGTCCACATGGAATGCTTTTTTTTTTTTTTTTGGACAACAATTTGGCATGAATCCTGCTAGTTCTGTTTGCATATCCTATATCTAGTCTTGCTATTTCTCTAGCAATATTTTATCTTCAGTTGCCATAATGCCATTTGTTTTCTTTCTCTCCCTCAACCCCCACATATAAATATATACATAAATGCATCCATTGATTTCAATTGGTTTAAGCAAACCTCATCCAATGTTAAATTTCAGCCAATATATAATGCGTAGCTCTATGAATATCTGTTCTAAAGTTTCTACATCATAATGCAATTGTAGGTATCTTTATAGAAACTCAACTGCAATACAAAAGGAATGACCTCCACCAGGAAATTAAAGCTCAGCACCAGCAGACCAGGATCAGGCCCCTTCCCCCATCCTTTGATCCATCCCATTTTACATATTATATTACTTATCCTCAAAAGAGCCCGCTACCTCTCTGTTCAAGTTGTGTTGTAGCATCTATTATTTAGATAATTCTGAGGTACAGTTGCCAATGGCACAAAAGAGGAAAAAGAGATCAAGGAAAGGGCAGCTGAGGTACTCATACAACCTATATGTGTTGCAACATGAAGGGAAAGAGAAAACATGTCCCCATTCCGTATTAAGCAAGCCTTTATGTTTCTCTGCTCGTTCAGATCTCCTACAATCTATGTGGACCTTCTTTCTGATTATGACTGCTAAACTCATCATCATCAAATTGCACAGCTAGAAGGGACCCTATGGATACTGAGTCCAGCCGCTATCAAGGAAGCACAGCAGGGAAACAAACTGCCAACCTTTGGTTCCGTCGCTGGATCGTAAACCACTGGGCTATCCAGCAGTCCTATAATAGACCAGAGAAGGTCTTAGCATTTAAGATATAGATACAAAAACACAGGATAGGAGTTAATAATTGCCTGAACCACTGCAGATGTGTGAGGAGGGGACTTAAGCTTTTCCTCCTCCTTTGATCACAAAGAAAACCCTCCACTTTAAATATGGAGTTTGCAGTGCAGGAAAAATGCCCCATTAGGGCAACAACGCTGCTATAGCACAAGACACTTTGCATTGCAGTGCAAAGCCTGGCAGAAGCCACAGTGCCAGTGTCAAAACATAGCAACAACAGTGTACCCACTGGCCCCTCAGTAGCAGTGCTGGTCCTTGACACAGCTGGCCACATAGCATCTGCGTGCTGGTATGAAACTGGAAAGGGTTTCAAGGAAGGACTGGTTAAGACAGAGAGAACTCTCAGTAGTGGAAGGAAGCACAAGGCATCCTGCAGGTGAGGTTGTGGTGGAACATCAAGAGATCAAGTCATTCACCCAAAGAGAAACAAAGAGCTAAAGCCATGGAAGAGATCCTGACTAGAGATGGGGGGGGTATTCGTATTCATATATGAATACCCCAGCACAGGTGGACATGATGAGGGTCTGGCCCCCTGGGGCCAGACCGTCCACTCACCCATCCACTGCACTGGCTCCGCTCTCCCTTCCAATCGCTCCGGAGCTGCCGGTTGGCTATCCACTCATCAGCCGGGCTGGGAGACTCATCTTCCCTCCTCCTGCCAGGAGTGGATAGTCGATCAGGAGCTCCAGAGCAACTGAAGGGAGAGTGGAGCCGCTGGTGGATGGGTGAGTGGACCCTTGTTACACCCACCTGTGCGGGGGGGGGTATTCATATATGAATACCCCCATCTCTAATCCTGATCTCTCAGCTGTGTCTCCAGAGTGGCCCCCAAAACTTGCTGTCCAGAATTAGGGCAGCAAGCATGAATGCAAATTGGCATCGCACCCATGGATGCAGAGAGATAAGTTATTAGGCAGCAGATTCAATACCAATGCAACCCAATTTGGCACAAACTAAAAAGGCATCTTGTAATGTACATAAACCATAGAACATATAATTCATCCGCTTATTCTAATTATAAGTATTTTTATCCCTGCTCTTCAGTGGTGTGTGCAGTTCTCCCCTCAGGTTGACGATCACAAGCACAATGCACACACACAAATAAGGGATAGGGAGGTGGGGTGGGGTAGCAAACTTGGATCCTAGTTTTTAATTTCACAGGATTTAATACGCAGTTAGTCTCGGACAAGAGCAATAGGGAGCCCATGCCATGTGCTGTAACCCCAGCTCCCCTCCCCATAAATATGTGCCTCAACTTGAGCAATTTTGCCTGGCACCATCAACCATTGCAAACCACGTTTTGCAATCATGGGGACTGCTTCTGCTCTATTGATTATGGGGCTAGAAGCAAGGGCCCCATTTCAAAGCTGTATGAGACCGAGTTTCTGTAGGTGCTTTGTTTTTTTGTTTTGTTTTGGCAGGTTCCTGAAAAGGGAACACTGGCTCTTTGACCCTCTCTGCTCGCTTGGAAATCTGAGCATACTTTTCCCATAGTTATAGCCTTCAAGGAGCCATTTGCAGGCCAAGTGTACCTGCTGAAGGACTAACTATAGCAACAACAATAGGCTATTTTGGGGGAAACATGGAGGTTAACAGGATTAATTAAGAGATTCCCTTCTACTTCCTTATTGTGTGGCTCATGAGACTCCGGATACACTAATCACTCCGACAGCACTTCCTTCATTGTTCTCCACCCACTCGCCACCACAGGCATGCCACAGCAGGTGCCGGAAGTTCAAAAGACCTTGCATAACTGATACCCAACTGGGAATAAATAGCAGAGCAAAAGTTTCTGGACTTCTCCTGACTCTTGGGAACTTCAGCTCCTTTAGACAGCTGAACATATAACTGCACTACAACTGAGGAGAGAACTACACAACATCTGGAGGATGAAATGTTCCCCACGCTTGTTCCAGAGGGTTTGGATCCAGCAAAACATCAAGCAGGGAAATCTGAGCATAAGAATGGCCCAAACGAACAATTGTATACTTTCAGTAATCTGGACACTGGGTCTTTGATCACCCAGATTTATCCCACAGAGCAACCAAATCTAGAATCTTAAACAGGCACTGCAATTTTGGATTTTTTGTTTTGTTTTCACCACAGCTAGCAGATTTCACAGGAAACCCTCCACCTAGAATTCTGGTAGCTTTAACCAAACTTTCCAAGTGCATAGAAGAGTTTCATGATACACAAGGCTCTCTCTGCAGCAAAGCCATTGAGCATAGGGAAGGATGTTGGTGGAGCTTTCTATGTTCCTAAGCACTGCAAGGCATTAGGGGATGGTAGTCTCTGTTCACTATAGAGGGTGCCTCTCAAAAAAAACCTGCTAGCCCCTTAATGCTTCACAGTTCCCATGAAGCTCAGAAAGCTCCATTCATGTCCTTTTCTCTGCTTTAATGGCCTTCATTGCAGGGCCAGCCCTGGTAAAGAACAGGTATGTATTCTGTAATTCCTCTGGGAACCTTTGCCTAAAGCTACCAGATTTCTAGATGGAGGAATTCCAGGTGAATTCTGGTAGCTGTGGTGGAAAAGAAAAATCCCAAAATCCCATGCCTAGCCTTGGCAATAGAAACCAAATGATGAGATTTGCATTTTTATTTCTGAGCATTCAGAAATAGCAGGGATTGGCAACATAGTATCCTCTAGAAATTTTGGACTGCAGCCCCCACATTCCTTTACCATTGGTCACGCTAGTGGGGGACTTCCAGGAACTGCATTCCACAACATCCAGAAGATATTCGGTTGCCTAAACTTGCATTAGCATCTAACGGGGTGGGTAGGAAACAGAACACCTGCCATACCTGAGACCCAGATTCCATCACCAACATCTCCAGTTAAATATATCTGGGGTCTCACATTTTCCTTCCCTCTGAGCACACGCCAATGGCCCATCCCTTCCCATGTGAACCTGCCCAGATTCAGGGACCAGTCCCATGGATCCTCCCTCACTCCAAGATTGGCTTTCTAAAGAAAGGCCATTCAATTTCATATTAACGTCTATATATGCAGAATGAGAAGCTCTTTGTTGTTTGACAAAGTTAATCCAGAACACCTGCTGGGATCTTGCAGGGCTCAACCAAGAGTCTCCCTTTAAAAAGGAAAATGACACAACTTCTACCCATTAGGAATGCATGGCGATTGCACTAATTGTCCTCAATGGAAATCAAACCTTTTGAGAACACACCGGTAAAATGCTCACATGGGCTCACGCTTTTCACTGGCATTTGACCTGAGCATTCCCAGGAAGCTCAAAAGGCATTTGAAACCAGGTTCACTCTGCACAGAGCCCGCTTCCCACCAGGGACTCTGGAAGTGGTAGCCCCGGCCCCATCACTGGCAGGAAGTGACACCTCAATGATGTGTGGGAAGTGCCTGTTGCTGCCAGCCCTCCTCTCTGTGCCCCAAAGGGAAGCATTAGGTCCTTAGGGTTGAAGAAGGTGGAAGGGGAGATGACATCTCTTGCAGGACCGAGATGGACAGGATGCTGCTCACCTCAGTTTTGCTGGGATGCTTTGAAACCAAGGCACTCATGTTTACAAGCGCCTCTGCCTGTATGCTTGCAAACCCCTTTTGCACAATATATTCATCAAGTGCCAGACCACAAACAGATGTCTCACCTTTGAGATGAGCTTCAGAAGGGATGACTTTGCACTTCTTGAAAAATTCATCGGTTAAGTCATCCACCACCAACAGCTTGGTCTCATCTCCACCAGATCTTATGGCCGAAACCACGTCCGCGTGCTGCTTGCCTTCCATGCATATGCCATTCACCTGTCAGGAGAGCAGCATGAATTGAGACCGAGCAAAGAAGTATAGATACATACAGCATATATTTGGGCAAGTGGCAGGAGAACGTGCTCCTTTAGAAAACAGTCCTGATACCAGGTCCACAACAATCAGACATGGCCCAGCTACTACAATGCTATGTATGCAGCACTGTACAACAGGGCAGGGAGACGCTGAGTCCCCAGACCTCGTTCAGAGAGCATAGGTCCTATGGATCTCTGGCAGAAGTCTCTCCCCCTTCTGTAAAGCCTCAGCCATTGGTGCAAGAAGATTCTCCCAGATTCCAGCATCCTTCTGCCACCTCCGATCACTGCTCAAAGATCACATATGGCATTGGGACTCCTGTTGTGCCCAGTGTGCTGCTCTGCTTGGAAAGATGAGTGATGTGCGAAGGGGGAGATCTAGCATTTCAAGGATATGCTCCCCCAAGCACCAACCAGCCTGAGTTATTTTCTTCATGCACAGAGAGGCTCACACCCTCATTCTAGGAAGAAGCACAAAATACGTAGTCATCAGGAAAAAGATGCCGCTCCCAGTTTGTAAGAGTTCCTTGCCCTATTGCAAATATCATGTCATCTCTTTGTCAATTAGTAATTGTAACTGGTACCATGGCTCAATCTTTTCTGCCAGTATCATGGGCTGTTTAGTACTACAGTAGGACCCTCCTATCTGCAGAATCAGTATCCACTGATTTACTTCTCTGCTACCTGAGAATAATAAATTTTTAAAAAACCCAGAGTTAGAGGGAGCCAAAGGATGTGGCAATGTTTAGCATTTGATACTTCTGCATTTCACATCGGGGGGGGGAGGAGGACTTGGAACTGATCCTCTGCAATTATTGTGGTCCTACTGTACTGCAGTCACTTTATGAGTCCACCTCATAAGTCCATCTACACTCAATTTCTTTCTGCTCGTCCAAGTTCCTGACACCAGAGCACTGACCTCAAAAGCGAACTTGCAGAGCCCAACTGAACAACGACCAAACAGGGCTTCTGATAGCATTCCTATACTCTTAAGAGTTTTGCGACATTTCCCATTTCTATTTTTCTGGGTGAATGTGGAGAAGGGATGGATCTAGACCAGGGTGGGCAGAACCTTAGTCTTACAAAATCTACCTTGTTTTGGGTGTTTTTTTTTACTAGAACCTCAAGATCTAGCACTTAAAAGTCATACGTACATATTCATTAAAGAATTCTGAACCCGGGAACATGTTTTGAGGACTACAGCTGAGTTTAGCCAGTGTGATGCAGTGGTCAGAATGTTGAGCTGGGGACTTGGGAGGTCGAGGTCCAAGACCCACAATGAGCCATGGAACTCACGAAGTGCAGTGGACCAGTCACTTTCTCAGGCTGATCTACCTCACAGGGTTGTTATGAGAAATAAAGATTAGGGGAACGGGGAGCCATGTAAAGTGTCTTAGGATCAATGGAGGAAAGGCAGGACACAAGTGTCCACATGTGCGACAGTTCTCCAAGAAGACTATCTCCATCCATAGTACAACTTCTGGGTGCAGAAGACAGCTCAAATATTTAAGCTGTCTCCATGTCTAAAGCAGAACTTGGAAAACTAAATTTTCTGTACTCCAGTTCCCTGTATATTCCAGCAAGCATGGCCACCGGCAAAGCTATGGATTGAAAAGATATCAAAAGAAAGGCTTAGACTTCTGAAGACCTGAGGCTGTCTTACTGAGCAACAGCTTAAAACAGCTCTTTGGTACAGGGACAGTTGAGCTGTTTGGCGTTGAATCGATTTTACACCATCAAGTTTCAAGAATGAAGGAAATGTGGCCACAAGAGCCTGATGGAGATTATTTTATCATTCAGAGCCACTAGGGTTGAGGTTTCTGTGTTTCTTGGAAGCAAAACACACACTGGGAGCATGAAGTTAACAAAACCACATCCTAGTGACTAGTCTTTGTGGCACAGTACCTGGCATGATGCAGCAGGTTAATTTGGGAAGGAATGTGGTCGGACTACAGTAGCAGAAACAAAGTGGACCTGCCATGACGCAGAAGCTAATGCTCAGGGAGAGACCTGGGCTTGCTCCAGATATTGCTCCACTATGACTACTCACACCATAATTCCTGACCAGTGGCTCTGCTGGCTGGGCTGATGGGGGTTTGGAGTTCACCAACAATTGAAGGACCACAGACATCCCTTACACACACACACACACACACACACACACACACAAAAACACACACACACACACACACACACACACACACACACACACACACACACACACACACACTAGTGATTACAGTGGTGCCTCGCTTAACAAAGATAATCTATTCCAGTAAAATCGCTGTAAAGCGAAATCCTCGTTAAGCGAAATAAAAAATCCCATTGAAACGCATTGAAAACCCATTCAATGCGTTCCAATGGGCTGAAAACCTCCCCGTCCAGAGAAGATCCTCCATAGGGGCAGCCATTTTTGGTGCCTGTAAAGCGAGGAATCCATCCAAAAACACAGTGGGGAGCCATTTTACACAGCGGGCGGCCATTTTGAAGCCGCTCATCAGCGGTTTTAAAAACGTCGTAATGCGAAGAATCGGTTCCCAAAGCAGGGAACTGATTGTCGCAAAGCGGATTTTGCCTATTAAAACATCGTTTTGCGATCATAAAAGCAATCGCAAAACAGTCATATCGCGGTTTCGGCATTTAATGAGGCAATAGTTAAGCGAGGCACCACTGTACTGACTTTTTACATAGGCTGGAACTCTGGATTGCTCCTCTTTGTTCCTCTACTAATCTCAATGTGGTATAGCAGAAAGAGTGATGAAATGGGACTCAGAATTCCTCCTCAGCTTGTGGAATATGTGTGACGGTGGTAAAGCCACTCCTTAAATAACTCACTTAGCTTGAAAACTCTATTAGGGTTACTATAAGTCAGATGTGACTTGGCAGGACACAACACACAATGCAATTGCACTTTTCATATGAGCAGCATATACAAATCCAAAGCATGTGGCACTATTTGACTTACTTTACGAAGAAAGGTACAGAACGGGCTTACTAGGTGTGAAGTTTGAACTCAATGTTTTAGTCAGGGTGGGGAATGCACGGTCCTGAAATGCCACTGGATTAGAACTTCCATTCACTCTTGCCTGTGTAGCTGATGGCTGGGGAAGATGGGGCTTCTAGTCAAGTAACATCCTCAGAACCTGTGTTTCACATCTCTAACCAAAGTGCTAGATTCTGAGGCCCCTTGCACTACCTGCAACTTGAGAGGTTTTTTTAAAAGAGTCCTATTTTGTTTGACATTCATTAGAGACTGGGCTACTATCAATTTTCAGAACTGCAGGCAGAACTGCATTCCACAGTTTAATGCCATAGCAACATAGTTGTCTAGTAAGGTGCCAGATTTACTCTCCATGCCACTGATCTGTAGGCTGTAAACAATGCCTAGTCCAGCCAGAAGAAGTGGTTAGGAGATCCACACAGCTACTGAGTTTTTAAATGACTCTAGTAGTAAAGCACATGCCCTGTGCGCATAGTGTGTCAGAAATGGAATCTCCTTTTAAAAGAACTGAGGTAGAAGATCTGGGAAATGTTACCCCCACATTTCTAAAAAGCTGCTGGCCAAGGAGAGGATTAAAGGCAGCTCTGTCCTATAAGCTAAGGCAGATTCAGCTGATTCTGTTGGCCAAGTGAATCCATAAACTCATACAGTCCCTCATGTATCTCTATTAGGGTGGAGAGGGGTTAGAAAGAGTGCTTGCTAAGACAGACAGTAATGATGATGATGATCTCTTGGAACTGCAGTGCTGGAAGGGACCCTATGGATCACTGAGCCCAGCCACTGTCAAGGAGGCACTGTGGGGAATCGAACTTCCACCCTCTGGCTCTGCTGCCAGATACCTAAACTAGTGAGCTATCCAGCAGTTGATAAGCTCCAGTTCACTGATTAGAGCCGAGGCAGTTGCCATCCGTCCTTCCTTCTTTAACTCCAAGATGGCTTCCTCCTAACTAGTGCAGAAACCCATTCATGTTCCTCCCTCTGCCCTGCTGGGGACAGTAACAGAAGTTGCCCAGCCGAGGCATATATACAGTTGGGTGCCTCTGTGGAGGAACTAAGCTCACACCGTTCACGAGGTTAAGCAAAGGAGGGAATGGCTGCCGACTTGCCCCCTACACAACTTTAGGGTTTATGGGTTCCAAGCGGAACAGAAACGCAAAAGTTGGCAGGATGGGACAATGCTTGCACCTCTAATTAGCCACAACATCAGCTTCCATTTTCTAGTGCAAGATGTAAAGCTACTACAGTAGATGCTGGTTTCACCCCTGGGCAGAGCTGTGTGTTACGGTGTGAGATGAGCATAGTTCAACCCAACATGACAAATATGGCTTTGGGCCTTTTTACACTACACATAGGCCTGTGCGTGCCAGATAGTGTCACCCTCAGTTTGTACACAATGTCACGTGCCTGTTGCAGGCCTGTAATCTAGCTTGTGTGCCTCCTCAGCCACACACACACCTGGCAGCTTGGCTGGTGCAATCCTGTGCTAATCGCTTCAGGAAAATCTGATTTTAATGAGGTTTTGCTGGCTTGCCTGCTAATCCCTGAACGGCTCCAGCATGAAAGATCTGGCTGTAATTGGTGCCAGGGCAACTAATACATTTGTCTTCCCCCTAGTTCAGCAGTTCACAAGCCTTTTAGTGAAATGACCCAATAATGGAATTCTGCTTGCATCTGATTCCCACAATCTGGCTGAAAAGTTTTTCATCGGTAGCTCTTCATCACTAATACTTACTGCACGTCTAGACCGCTTGGCACCCAAAATTTCTCTGTACAGTGTACAGTACATTTTTTAAAAAACAAAACATTCAAACAGTGAAACAATGCACGAAGACAGCACACATATAACACATAAACAATAAAACAATGGGTAAAAACAACACATAAAACTGAGATGAAACCAGAAGCAAAGAACCAAAACAGTACAGCATATGAAGCCAAAACAAAAACAGTAGGCTAGGTAAGAGAGCTAAGATCTCAAAAGAACCAAACACAATTTTGCAAATGCTGGGGAGAAGAAAAAGGTCTTCACACCTACCAATGGAAAAGATTATAAAGGAGACGCCAGTCAAGTACTGTATCAGGGTGCCTCCATGGTTAGGAGTACTTCCTGTCCTTCTTACAAATGATATCTAGTCTGATTTAGGACTAAATCACTGATATCAAAGTGGATAATATTGCACTTCTTAAAATGTGACTCAGGCGCTGGACGTTTTTTGGTGCTACAGGGAATTTCACCTGGGACATTTAAGCCCAACCTAGATGATACAACGAATACATCACTAGAATCAGAGCTCCTTTAAGAGCTGGAAGACTGTTTGTTCTAATAGAAACCTCCCTCAACCTACAAACTGCCTCACTTTTGTTTTGTAGCTGACCACTGGGAGATTAACATGGCTTTTTGTGCATGTCTGACAGGCAACAAGTCAGAAATATGTCTGTGCCTGAATGAAAAATATAACAAGGAAGAAATGTCCGCTCTCCTCAATGCCTGATATAACGCCTACATTCAGCAAAAGATGAGGACTAAGCAAATTTTTAGACTTTGTTCTTAATTACACTTATATTTTGCCTTGACTCCAAGCAGCTCAAGATGGCCTACTTTGATGGCCTTTTGCTTTTATCCCCCCCCACTCTCAACAGGAAATTGTAGGTTATTCACAAACCAGGAGCACACTTTTGTTTAATGCACTGGTCTGTTCTCATTAGATCCAAAAAGAGGTTTAGAAAATGAGGTGGAGGGAGAAGAGCAGAAAGAGAAAGAAGGACTCCAGGGAGGAGTTCATAATGACTCACTGTTTTAACAGCAAACCATGGCTTCATACACTGGAGTCTGGCCATAGAGGAACACATCACAGAAAGTGAAGGCAGAGGAGTCATTCCAAAGTATTTCAGCCTCTGCAATCCCTTTGCTACGTGTCATAATTTCAGATTGGCTGGAGTGATCCGGCCTCCAATTTATGCACTCCCATGGGCTCAGACCCTCAGTGCACCCTTACAATGCATACCTCAATAATACGATCTTGGGGCTGCAGACCGGCAGCTTCAGCTGGAGAGTCCGGATCCACGGCCCGGACATACTGGCCTGGCTTGGTTTTGTCACTATGAAGGTTGAACCCGTACCCATTAGGGCCCTTCTTCATTTGGCAGAGACGAGGTCGCAGCTCCTTCTAAGGCAAAGAAAAAGAAAAGCATGTTGGAACGTTGGATTACAGCCGATTCACAAGTAATTTAGATGTGTCCATTAACTCCTTGCCAAGCTGTACAGGATGCTGCTGTCTGTTTACAGATACAAATGCTGCTCCTTAAGGGGAGACGCGCTATTAGTGGCTCCATATTTTTTGTCAGATCTTGAATCATAGAATAATGGAGACAGAACAAGCTTATAAGAACACTGATCCCAACAAAGGAATTCAAATCAAGTATATTTGACAGATATCTAATTTTCTCTTGAATACATCAAGTGCTGGTGCATTCACCAACTCCTGAGATAATTGGTTCCATTACTGTACTGTTCTAAGAGTTAGAAAGTTTTTCCTGATAGTCAACTGAAACATGGCTTCTTATATCTTGAGCCCATTACTATGTGTCCTACACTCTGGGAAGAATGAGAACAGATCCTGCCCCTTCTCTGTATGACTACCTTTCAAGTACAGTATTTGAAAATTGCTATTATAGCTCTCCTCAGCCATATTTTCTCAAGGCTAAACATGCTCAGTTCCTTCAGTCCTTCCTCATATGTCTTGGTTCCTAGTCCCCTGATCATCCTTGTTGCCGTCCTTTGAACTAATTTGTCGGCATCCTTCTTAAGTGCAGTGTCCAGAACTGAATACAGTGCTCAAGATGAGTCCTAACCGAATACAGTGGACCCTCGACTTACAGATGGCTCCACTTACAGACTTTTCGAGTTACAGACTTCTCTGGCTGCAAAATTTAGGTTTGACTTGCAGTCGGAGAATCGACCTACAGTCCAGGAAAAAAAGGAACAAAAACGGCCAGTTACGGATTAATCGGTTTTCAATGCATTGTAGGTCAATGGAGTCTCGACCTACAGACTTTTCGACCTGCAGCCACTGTTCCAATACAAATTAATTCCGTAAGTAGAGGGTCCACTGTAGAGGGGAAATAGTATTTCACAGGATTTGGAGACTATACTTCTGTTGATGCAACCTAAAAATAACATACGTATGCCTTTTTTGCAGTCACATTGCACTCTTTTATATTCAGTTAGTGATCTATAACAATCCAATATCCTTCTTGCTCATAGTATTACTGAGCCAAATATCTCCCACCTTGTAACTGTATGTTTTTTTCTCCTAGATGTAAAACTTTGCACTTCTTGTTAATTTTTATTCTGTTGTTTTCAGAACCTAAAAATAACATACGTATGCCTTTTTTGCAGTCACATTGCACTCTTTTATATTCAGTTAGTGATCTATAACAATCCAATATCCTTCTTGCTCATAGTATTACTGAGCCAAATATCTCCCACCTTGTAACTGTATGTTTTTTTCTCCTAGATGTAAAACTTTGCACTTCTTGTTAATTTTTATTCTGTTGTTTTCAGTCTAATGGCTGTATGTTTGTTTTTTTCTCATAGATGTAAAACTTTGCACTTCTCCTTGTTAATTTTTATTCTGTTGTTTTCAGTCTAATGACTGAGCCTATCGTGATGTTTTTTAAATTTGTTTTTTGTCTTCCAGGGTATTTGTCATATGTGATTTCAGTAAGCATTCCCTGCACCCCTTCATCCAAGTCATTAATAAAAATGTGGAGCACCAAGCCTAGGATGGAGCCTTTTGGCACCCCACTTGCTACCTCTTCCCAATTTGAGAAGGAGGCAATAATTTATAAGCACTCTCTGAGTATGATTCTGTAACCAACTGTGTATCTGCCTGACCGTGGTTCTATCCAGCCCATACATACTCAGCTTGCTATTCATAGGGTACTTTGTCAAAGGCTTTGCTGAAGTCAAGATATATCTACAGCATTTCCACCATCTACTAGGGAGGTTATCTGATATATAAAAAAAGAAATTAAAATTAGTCTGGCTGGATTTGTTCTTGACAAATTTAAGTTGGCTTCTAGTTATTATTGCATGGTTTTCAAGGTGCTTGTACAGTCACTGTTTTATAATCTGCTTCAGAATTTTCCCCAGGATTGATGTGAGGCTGATCTGCAATTCCCTGGTTCCTCCTTTTTTGCAGATGGGACGACATTAGCTCTCCTCCAATCATCTGGCATTTCACCCATCCTTCGATGAACAACTAACCATCTTGACTGGATGATTCTAGGAATGTAGCCAAAATAACTCTCCTTGGCTCTGTTACTGGTCTGGGCCTGCAGAGAATCACCCAGGCACTCCTCTGTGTCCTGGGGCATGTTCACAAAAAACACTGGCAATAAAAAGTACTTCTGAATGCTTCATCCTTAGCAACCTATCGGATATTAAAACAGTGCTCTGAAGAAAGAAATAGCAATCCGCCACCGTGGAACTGGGCAATATCCTACTACTTTATGTTACACTTATTCCTGGCACATGTTGAGACTTACTAAAAGAAAGTCCCTACAGTCTCTGAAGTGCCAGAGTTCAATGTTTCTAGTTTGCTCTCATCACTCGAACTTCCCCTCTGTGGTTTACTTTCACTTAGCCTATGTTATCCTCTGCACAAGTATGGTAGCTCCAGAAAGTGTAGTGCAAGTTTCACTGGCTTGACCTCACCAAAACATAAGTGTCCACAAAACAGATCATTTGTCTCTACCCGTTACCATCCTGTTTACTTTCGGGATAGAGGGAAGGGGAGCTGGCACACCCGTAAGAGCTTTGCACCTTCTATCTTGTGCAGGTAATTATGAGGCCGAACCAAGGACAGAGTACAAAGGATTTCTTTGGAAATCAAACATGCCATAATTGCAGCATCTCCCCCTGAAATACAGGACCATCAGCAGACCCATCCTAATCGCCAACATGGCATGGTTGTAAAATCCACAAATTTCACAAATGAAATTCTTTCCCCAATTAAAGAATGAGATCAATGGGGGTCAAAGTATGTCAAGTTCAGTGTTATTTTCCCCCCATCAGAACTTTCTCTTTGTGATTTGCTCACACTCAGCACATGTCATACTTCTGCACAAGTAGTAAAGTAACTGCAAAATGCATTGACGGCCCCCAGCTTGCTTTTCTTAAGGCAGGTTTCTAACTCTTGTGAATGCAAAGGCAAGCTTGAATGTATGTGAGACATTGCTAAAATCTCAGATGTTCCAGGAACAGTTGAAATAGACTTGTGCACACTAGAAGACAGGGGTGAGTATATGTTTGTGTTCCTCAAGTGATCACCAACATAAGACTAGATTAGAGGAAATAATTCACAATAGTTCACAACAATACAGAACAATAGGGACAGTGACAATCTGAATTATGACTGTTTGCAATAATATTTCAATTTATGTATCTATAGCTGCACTCTTGTTATTCTGCTTGTGCATTTTTCTCCTCTTTGCACAGTAGCTGCTTTAAGGCTTCTTCTAACTGCATTTCTGCCTCTCCCATGCAGGGGTAGGCAACTTCAGTAGCTCTACAGGCCTGTTCCCACCACAGAACTCATCATTCACTGGCAGCACGCTCAATGGTTTAGCAGATCTGGGTCCATGAAGCTTGCTGGGTGATCTACTTGGCAGGGCTGTTGTGAGGATTAAGTGGGAAGGATAGTATCTTGAGCTCCCTGCAGATATTTATAAGCTGTGATATTTATGGCTGAAGTCCAGTAATAAATTACAGTTAGAGTAGACCCATTGAATCAATGGAAAGCTGTGATATTTATGGCTGAAGTACAGTAATAAATTAGAGTAAATTAGAGTTAGAGTAGACCCATTGAATCAATGGAACTTACAGATAAGTTGACTTACCACCTCTGTATTGATTCAATGGGCCTATTCTAGGTGCGACACACTACTGGATTGCAACCAATGTAACAAACAATACATGAATAAACAAATTGGTTGGACCTCCCTATGACTGATGGACTGATTCAGCAGAAAACCACAAATGACCTTTGAAGGGAGGGGGGGGGCAGAAATTCATGTTTGAAAGAGCACCCCCTATCTGCCAACTAAATTCAGCAGAATTCAAGGTCTGTAAAAATGGCTTTAAGGATTGTAGTACAGTGTAGTCCATAATACAGTATCATCCAACTTTTTTCTTCCTTTTCAAAGAGCTTAACAGGTCATCAGTAGCCATCACCACACAGCAGTCTTCACTGGTAGTGGAAGAGAAGGGGTTGGCACACCCAGAGGCATCATGGTTTTCATGAGAAGGGAACTGGGCACTCAGAGGGAACTGAAGCCAAGCCAATGACACAACATACAGATTGAAGCAATCGTTGAAGCATCTCACACAGACACACACAACTGTGCCCACATCTATCCTGAATCACCCTGCTCATCAGCATGGTGTGGTTCAAGTGACCCAGTTCCTAGAACACATGTTAGTGCCTCCTATGTTACTTAAAGAACGAGGTCAGTGCTCTGTCAGGTGCTCAGTTAAAGATGATGGATTCTTCACTGCCCATGAGCTCAGCGACCCTACCACCTGGATGTCCAGCCTTCCAAGTGGCCTTGCAACCCACCTTTCTCCTGCTCTGCTCACTCTGGTATACAGCTAGGCTACGTTTTTGCAATCCTGTGTGGCACCAATCTTCCAGCAAAGATGCAGAAGACGACATCGTGGTAGAATAACTAAAATAGGTGGGGCCACATTTTCATCTTATAATTCCTCCTTGCTCAGTGGGCTGCCAGTGGACAGAAAGAAAAAGAGTGTGTGTTTTCCAGAGATCTGAATTTAATGCTTGCAGAGCGCTTGTGCAGTAAAGCCAACACCTCCCCAGAATTAGGCCAACAGCTCCAGGTTGCACACCTGTGCTATGATGCCCACTGAAGCTTTCAGTTAGACCTACTAGTTGTGCTCTGGGTCACTTATCAGAACAGCTTGTTCTATGCAAGGAGACAGGATGAGTTATAATTACGATGCAATGTTCACTTGTTTCCTTGCCTGCCCGCCAAGTTTTCCAAACAGACGTCCTACATAAAACACCCTATATGTTCTTTTATTAGGAGAACTCTAATTACAAAGCACTGTACAGTTTGGGGAAAGCTAAGTATAGTAAGGCAATTC